AAGTTCAGACACCTTGAGTCTAGTAAGTGGGTAGTGGGTATTGAAACCCACAAAGACAAAGATACTTAAAACAAATAGCCCAAGTGAAGGGTACTGAGGGATAGTGAGCAATGTTTCCTAGACTCCCCTGATGCCGAGAGTCCCTGGAGGTGCTTCTTTCAGAGAATACTGATTTCATAGGTCTGTGTTGGGGGGCAGGAATCTGTGTTTATTATACAGACTCTCCCCACCCCGCCCCCCCCGCCCCAAACACACACTCCATGGTTCTTCAAGGAAGTTTAGGAAACAGTGACTTAGTGGGGATTGGACCAGGTAGATGTATTATGTAAGGGATTCTAGGGAAGAGTTAGGAAGGAAGGGAGAGGATTGATCTGAAACAGTGGGAGTGGGGCGGGGCACAAGTGGGAACCAGATTTTGGGGAAGGCTGGGAGGTAGAAAAGGGCAATGGAGAGCAAATCCCTAGGGTTGGACCATTATTTTTGGAGAAGAAAAGCATTTGTGGGAGCCTCGCTGATCCTGTGTTCTTCCAGGTGGCTGCATTGATGACACCATCCTCAGCAGGCAGGGCTTCATCAACTATTCCAAGCTTCCCAGCCTGGCCCTGGTGCAGGGGGAGCTGGTAGGAGGACTTACCCTCCTCACGGCCCAGACCCACTCCCTGCTTCAGCACCAGCCCCTCCGGCTGACTGCCCTGCTGGATCAGTACGTCAGACAGCAACACGAGGAGGACCCTGTCGTGCCAGCCAGTGGGCAGCCAGATCCTCCCAACCCTATTCTGGACTCGTAGCCAGCCTCTTGTACCCAGCCTGCCCATAAATACACTCTGCCCCGTTGGCTGTCAGAGATATGGGGAACTTGGGGTGGGGAGTGGCGTTTGTTACCTGGCTTTCACTGACAAAGATCTCTTCCAGTACATGGCAACCCAGAGATGCAGAGGGATCCCATTTCAGAACGGAGGTGGCTCATAATCACTGTCTTTGTCCCTAGTTTTCCCAACTTGGGACCTGATAGCAGCGGTCTCTTTCCGTTCTCCAGGTCCAAGGCGGAGAAGCCTTTGGTTTCTGTGTTCACTGCCCTTGCTGCACGTGCCTCCCAGCCTATCCCCTCATGGCTCCAATGTGCCAGAATAGCTCAACTGAGTAATAAATTGTGCTGAGAGTGGCATCTGTTGAGATCCTACTATGCCAGGCTCCCTTTACATGTGCTAGATCCTGTATTTCTCACATGTTATCCCCATTTCACAGAGAGGAAGACTAAGGGGAGGAGAAGTTAAATAGCCCGCCCAAGGTCATGCTGTTGGCAAGAGTCAGCACAGGGACTGAACCAGGCTCTTCCTGCTCTGAAGATGCTGCCCTGGTTTTCTACACTAAAGCTTTTTCATTAGGGTCCCAAGTGTGCTTGGGTGTTAATTCTGTGCCCTCAGGGTGTGCCATGTCGTGGAAAAGTTGGGAGCACTGCTTTATGATAAAATGAAATGCATTTTACTTACTGTGTTTTGCTGTTGACAAGCTTATCCTCCCTGTAGACTTATTGCCAAGGTCATCTCTGACTCACTTCTCTTCCTAGAAAATCCTTCCTCTTCCCATGTCCAAGCCTGTTACCTCCCTGTACTTGCTCCCACAAATGGCATTGCTTAAGTGCTTGTCCTTTTGAAGGCAGCTGCCCACTTTGTCCAGTATCTGGCACATCTCGGGTGGTTCAAAACAAAAGAGCTGCGACTTCCCTGGTGGCGCAGTGGTTAAGAATCCGCCTGCCAATACAGGGGACACGGGTTTGAGCCCTGCTCCGGGAAGATCCCACATGCTGTGGAGCGACTAAGCCCGTGCGCCACAACTACTGAGCGTGCACTCTAGAGCCCGTGCCACAACTACTGAGCCCACGTGCTGCAACTACTGAAGCCCGCGCACCTAGAGCTCGTGCTCTGCAACAAAAGAAGCCACCGCAATGAGAAGGCCATGCACCGCAATGAAGAGTAGCCCCCGCTCGCCGAAACTAGAGAAAGCCGGTGTACAGCAATGAAGATCCAATGCAGCCAAAAATAAAATAAATTTATTAAAAAAAAAAAAAAGGAGCTGAGGGAAAGCCAGGATTCTGTTTTAATAAGGGGGCCTGGGGGCTCTTGAGTAGGAGGCCTCATCCAAGTCTCAGGGAACTGGAGGTTTTTAATGGAGAGGGGGTATATGACAAGAAGCCTGCCCTTGTCCTTGATTGGAGCGCATTCCGGGTGGACACGGGTGATGCGGGGAGTTAGTTGTTGATCATTGCTCTGGGAGCAGTGCCACAGCTTCCTTAGTCCTGGGCAGACACTGCTCTGGCAATGATGATCTGCAGCAGCTTTTCCTTCCCTGGTTCAGGACCAGCTTTCCACAGTGCCCAGCTCTGTGCCATTCGCCCAGGGATGCTCAATCAATAGGAATTGAATTAAAAGGCCCCTGAGGCTCCTGGATGCCAGAGCTGGTCTGGCCAGTGCTGCCCAGTGCTCTCCCTGACTCCCAGAACCCTGTCAGGTGCTAACAGCGCCCTCCTGGGGTGGCAGGGACTGCTGAGGTTCTGAATGGAACAGAGAGCAGGCATCTCCTGAGAGATGTGTAAGCCAAGGCCCATGGGACAGCTGGTTGGGGAAGTGGCCTATGTCATATTGGGAATCAAAGAAGAACTTCGAATTGCATCCTTCGCCTGCTGGCATTGCCTGAAGCCACAGCATTAAACCCACTTCTTTCCAGAAAGTGGCTGCACTGCACTTAAAGCTGGCAGTCCAGTTCATATTCATTTGAATGAATTCTAGACCTTTCTCAAGAGGTAATTTTTAATTAGAATTGAGCAGCTGCACACAGTACTCCAGCAGAAGGGCAGAGGTATTCAGAAAGGGAGGCCAAGGGTACCAGAGTTGGCTCCAGCTAGCCTTTTAGCAGCCAGGTGGTTACTGCCCCAGACCTGCCCCCCATCAAAAGACTTGGTAGGCTGGGGGGTGGGGGATGTCTTACCACATAGGTGCTTCCGGCCCCCAGGGGTCCCGACCTGGTGGGGCATCACCCAAATGACAGCCTCCCTGTGGCCCTGTTGAACTTTGCCCTGCTGACTGCCTTTGGCACTGTCAGTTGTGGTTCCATAGGGGCATCCCTCCCTTTGTGTCAACCTGAAAGCTTTGCTGGCTCCAGATTCCACAATCTATTTTCAGATGTAAAACTGAGAGGCAGGGGTTAATAAAGAAATGGCCTTGGGTACTAATTGGGGTCAAGGCCATGCTAGTGTGAGCAAATTCTTTACCAGCACTAGCTTGGGGCCAGCAGCTCCCTAGTCCTCTGTGATCTATCTGGAACTGTGCCCATTGGGGACTCTGCTCCCACTCCCAAGCTTTCTGGGCGCTGGGGAGTCGGCTCAGCCCTGAGTCCTCCGGAGAGCAGGGGGGCAGAGCTGAGCGGCTGCCCGGAGTTTGGCTGGAGGAGGGGCCGGGGGAGGGGGAGGTGAGGAGATCCGGCTAGAGGGGAGGCTCCGACGTCTCCTTCCTTCCTGGTTCCTGCTGCAGCTGCCGCCACTGCTCAGCTCCGTGAGCAGGGAGCTGGCGGTTCGGAGACGGTGACTCAGAGGCGGAGCGGTGTGCGGGCCAAGGAGCACTGCTGTCCATGGACCCTGGGGTAAGGGGGCCGCGCTGGCATCAGCTGACATTCCCCAAGAAGGGAACATTCACCTGAAGCTGGTGGGTCTGCTCTTCCAGAGATGAGGGCGGGAATGGAGGTGGAAAGGGGGCACCCACCTGGCTCATCTCGACCTGCACCCTCTACTAACAGAGCCTCCCCTCCACCTGCAAGCAGTGAGGGGCCAGGATCCCACGGGGCCAGGAAAAGGACATAGAGACACCCAAAACACTGGAAGAGTTTGTTAACTTTCAATGGCTGAATGTAGGAGTTTTCCCCCAGGTCAGCCTCTGGTAGCATGGGCCCCTCTGACCTGACCTCCTGGCCACCCACACCCCACCACGTCCCTGTCCCTCCTGGCCTCAGCTCCACTGGAGGATCTGGGCTGCTTCCCTAGCCTCAGGCCAACCTTGCCCCTCCAGTCCCCTCCCCCATCTCACACACACAGAGCCTCATGCATTATTGATCTCCCCGTGGAGCCAGGATGACCAGGGCTGGTGCCAAGGGCGCCTGTAGGCACTGCTGAGGGACCTGTGTGGTCCTCGGCATGTGTCTCCAATGGCTCGTCCCCCGCTCTCTCCAGGTGGGTAGCACTTCTCAGGAGCTCCAGGGATGGGGATGAAAGAAAGGAGGCTTGGGGGACGGGGGGACAGAGGGTCCGAAGTGGGCATCCTAGGGGGGCGATCGATGGGAGGCACGGGAAAATGCGGGCAGTCTCAGGCCTCAGTTTCCTCAGGCAGAAAAATGGGAGCCCAGGAACTAGAGGATATGGAGGCCAATTGGTGGGGAGCTAGGGTCAAGAGGTTGGGGGGCTCTGTAAAGGGATGATGGCAGAGGAGTCTCCATGCCGTGGTGCTGAGCTCAGGGATCCTGGCGGAAGAGGAGCTGGGTTGAGATCTCACATGTCCAGTCTCTGGATCCCTCTGTCCTATTTTGGAGCCTCTTCCTTCACTCCCCTGCCTCACCTCTGATTACCCCCAGGGAATCCTCCAGAGAAAGCACGGAGTGTTTCCTGGAGCTGGGGAATGTGTGAGTGCCTAACGTGGGGCAGGGCTGACTTTTCGAGGTTTTCTTTTGGCACCAGCCTGCCTGCTGCGCGCTCCACCTCTCTGGGCAGCGGGCGCGGAGACCTGCCCAGAGTGGGGTGGGGACAGGCTTGGGAGAGGTGTGGCAGGTGAGCGGAAGATGTGCTCCGGGGCTCTCATCCCAGAGGGTGCAAGAGGGGCTGGAGGTGGGGAAGGTGATAGCCAAGTCCGTGCTAACAGGGTCTCTCTCTGCTTCAAGGGCCCCCTCAGGACAAGGTGACATCTTTCCCCTTACACTCTTGTCTACGTCCTCAGCAGGGAGTGGCCACTCCCTTCCCCATGGACTTCCAAGAGCGGGACCCTCCCTCCCTGGCTGAGAGCACACAGTCCGCCAAGCCCAGCAGTGCCCAACAGGTCTGAGGGTGGGGAGTAGGCAGTGGGTGCGCCGAGCTTGGCCCACAGGGGAAAAAGGTAGAGGTGGTCGCTTCACCGGCCGCTCCCCAACTCTGTCCTGGACTGCAGGCCTCCGAGCTGTGGGAGGTAGTGGAGGAGCCTCGGGGCCGGCTGGGGGCAGAGGGTATCATGCCCGAGAGGCAGGAAGGCCACCTGCTCAAAAAGAGGAAGTGGCCTCTGAAGGGCTGGCACAAGGTAAGGAGGCAGGGCAAAGGGAGGGGCCAGACGGGGGCACCGGACGGGGATGTGTGGGGTTGCCGGGGGGGGTACTGGCTGTTTGTGTGTCAGAAGAAACTTCTGTATGGTTGCTCTCTCCCCACATCCTTTCCTCTCTGCCCCCCGGGCCCTGTCCCTTCTGGGCAACGTCACAGAGATACTTTGTGCTCGAGGATGGGATCCTTCACTATGCAACGACTCGGCAAGATGTGAGTCAGGGCCTCGGCTCAGGGATGAGGGAGGAGTTTGGCCCCAGAGTGCCCTGAGCGGGCAGGGGGCTTCTGGAATCCTCCAGAGCAGGGTCTGAATCCCAGGGACACCAATTATTGGGTGTGGGGTCTTGGGCAGGTTACTTCCCTGGGCCTCAGCTCCTCATCTCTACGGTGGAGAGAGTACAGCCACCCACTTATAGAGTCTTTGTCTTGGTGAGGGCTCTCAGGACAGTGCCGGGCATAAAATAAGTACCCTAGACATGGGAACTTTATCATCCTCGTCCTTGTCCTCTGCTCTTGCAGGAACAAGGAACTAAAGGCCTAGACACCCAGGCTCTCTCCAAGAAGGTGCTCCTTTCTCAGCCTCGCAGATTCCTGAGGGTGGGAAAAGTTTTCCTCACTCTGTGACTGCCTAGAGCTCAGATTGTGACTTGACATAGCGGGGTGTCCTGTGGACAGGAGGACGACTGACAAGTCCTGCTGATACTGTGACTTGGGCATGAGGGTGAACCTGCTGCCTGGCCCTTGAGCCTAGCGTGACCTCAGTGATGGTGGCCCTGGTGGCCTAAAACCAGTCCCCCTTTCCCCCTCCGATCTCTCCACCCCAGATCACCAAGGGGAAGGTCCATGGCTCCATTGATGTCCGACTGTCGGTCATGTCCATCAACAAAAAGGCCCAGCGCATTGACCTTGACACTGAAGACAACATCTACCACCTCAAGGTGACATCCCTGGGAGCCAGGTGGTGGCTTGGTCCTCAGCCTGTCAGAGGCACTGGGGCACGCAGGAGAGAGGGACAGGGGCCGAGGGTCTGTCTGAGTTTGATCAGAAGGGAGTTCCTACCATGTACGATAGCCAATGGCAAACTGGCCCTGTCGGTTGTTGTGTGAACAGGAACAGAGCTGAAGGCTTGGACACCTGCAGAAGCTGTTCCTGCCTCCCCGCAAGGGACCTTTGCATAAGCTGTGTGCTATAGGGAGAGACCCTGCCTGCCTGCGGACCAGAGCCCCAACTTCTTGCCCCTAGAAAGCAATCCTTCCTTTCATGCATCCCTCCCCTTCTCCATCACCTCTGCAGATCAAATCACAGGACCTGTTCCAGAGCTGGGTGGCTCAGCTGCGTGCCCACCGCCTGGCCCAGCACCTGGATGTGCCCCGAAGCCTGCTGCCCAGCACCACTCACCGGAAGGTAAGATGGGCCCTGGGGCAGCGACAGGTGATGTGGGGATTCAGGATGAGACTCAGGGAGGCAGGCACCTTCCTGACCCTTGACTCACCCCACAGGTTCCTGGTGCCCAGCTTCCGGCAGCGGGTAGTGCCTCGGCTCTGCCAGGGGTTGGACCTCGGGAGAAGGTGTCTTCCTGGCTGAGGGACAGTGATGGGTTAGATCGCTGCTCTCATGGTGAGGGGCCCCTGGCACTGCGCCTCCGTGGGGAGGGCCCATGCTATTGCATCTAGGTGGCATCAGCAGTCACAAGGAGGAGAAAATGTTACCTCCATCCCTGCCTCTGGGAGCCCCAGTCTGATGGGGGAGACAGCCTCCATCTCTAGGCTGATCAGGTCTCCTAGGGCCCTGCCCTGGGGAGCCTCAGGCTTACAGAGAATGATGGGGCTCGTGCTCTAGGCATATAGACAGACCCGGACACAGGGCCAGGACTCATGAAAAAGAAGATCCAGAGTGCCAACGCAGGGAGGGGTCCTGAGGAGTAGTGCCAGGGAAGGGATGTGCACTAGAACCGGATTCCTGGAGTTGCAGGCTGCGATGCTGGCCTGGGAGAGGGAAATGCAAACCAAGGGGGGAGAGCAAGAGTGGGAGCCCCCTGGCCTGTGTGGAGGTGGCCGAGGTAAGGTGTGGTATGGGAACAGAGTGCAGATTGGGGTGCGGGCACTCCTGTGAGGCCAGACCAAAGGGTGGGAGCTGGGAACTGCTTTGGGCTTGTGAGTGGGGGAGGGCAGCCAGTGTTGGGATTTCCGTGGCTGCTGGTGAAGTCTTTGGAGGAGGAAGGGAAGCTAAGGGACAGACTCTGGGGGGCCTGGCCGGTGTTGGGAGAGGGACTTCCTCATTCATCCTTCCCGCAGAGCTCTCTGAGTGTCAGGGGAAGCTCCAGGAACTCCACAGACTCCTCCAGAGCCTGGAGTCCCTGCCCCGGATCCCCTCAGCCCCTGTTATCCCCACACACCAGGTAAGGTCCAGGGGAGGAGGCAGGGGCCCGCCCAGGGCTATCTCCGCTCTTGCTGTCTTCATCTCCATCACTTCCCCGGACAGGTCCCCAGTCCCCCTTATATGCTGCGGTTTCCTGGAGAGCCACCATCTCCCCGTTGCCCCTCCCCACCGTGTCCAGACCGCCTCAGGGTTGTCTTTCTGCCCCTTTGGAGCGACCCCTTCCTCCTGTGCCCAGGCGGCTGCCAGGCTGTCGGTCTTCTGCCTCCGGGATGCTGGTGTCTCTGCGTCCTCCTTCATGACCGTCTACCTCTCTCCCGGCTTTGGTGGTCTTCCCCACCCTGAGACTGAAACTCCCTCACCTCGACTTGCCAGGCCTCGGTGACAGCCGAGAGACCCAAGAAGGGGAAGCGGACCAGCCGCATATGGTGCACACAGAGCTTTGCCAAGGACGACACCATTGGGCGGGTGAGGTGGGGTGTGGACCCTGAGATGCTGGGTGGGAGGGAGGCTCTGAAGGAGGCTGCGCTCTTCAACCCCTCCCCTTCGCCTACAGGTGGGTCGTCTCCACGGCTCTGTTCCCAACCTGTCTCGCTACCTGGAGTCCCGGGACCCCTCGGGCCCCCGCGGGCTGCCACCCCCAGACTATGCCCACGTGCAGCGCAGTTTCTGGGCCCTGGCTCAGAAGGGTGAGTGCGTGCCCTGGGGGTGGCTGGGGGCAGGCGGGGAGAGGGAGAGGGAGAGGAAGGGAGTCTGATGGCCGGCCTGCCCCCACAGTGCACGGCTCGCTCAGCAGTGTCCTGGCCGCCCTCACCACTGAACGAGACCGACTGAGGGACCTGCACCAGGGTTCGGAGCCGTCCAGGCTGGGGGTGAGGCTGGGGGCAGGGTGGCCAGTGGGAGGAACGGGCCCAAGCCCTGAGGACTGCAGGCCTGGGGGTGGTCCCGGACCTGGGCCGGGAAGGGAGGTTGGAGGAGGCAGGCTGTGCCCGGCAGGCTGGGGAGGGCTTCACCCGCCCCGTCCCGGCACTTGTGCCCTCACCCTCTCCCTGCAGGTCTCTGAGGCCGCAGCCGGCCCGAGGCGCCTCCACTCGCTGTCCGTGTCTTCCGACACCACTGCAGACTCCTTCAGCTCCCTCAACCCCGAGGAGGTGGGAGCCGGGGTGGGCTGTGGGGACCATTCCTCTGGGCCTTCTTTCTCAGCAGAAGTGAAGGCGTGGTTGGCGTTCAGACCTGAAACTCCAGCCCCTTTCATGGAACACAGGCAGCAGCCACATCTGGGTCATTTCTTAACAGCGTGCAGAGTGCTTTTGCTTTTAAGTCAGAGTCCCGGGGGGCAGTGATTCTTACCCTCAAGTTCACAGATGAGGAAACTGAGACTCAGAGGATCTAAATGATGGGCCCAGGCTCCCGTACTACATGGGTTTGAATCTGGCTCCACTGTATGCTGGCTTCATGACCCAGAGCCTCAGTGTCCTAATCTGCAAAGTGGGGGTAATAATTGCACCTACCTGGTAGGGTGAGTGTTGGGATTGATGGAGTTGATACACGCAAAGGGCTTGGAGCCGGGCTCAGAGTCAGTGCCCAGGCAGTTATTATGGAACCCGTGTCTCTTCACTTCCAGGCCGGGATCTTTCCACCAGGCCTTCGTACCCCACTACACTCGCTCCCCTCCGCATCTTCTCCTGCTCAGCAGGTCTCAGACACAGATAGTAAAAGTCCCCAGTCACACTTCCCTCACAAGGGAGCTGTCAGGCCAGGGGAGCCCTGCCTGACTCTCCCGGCTGGGCCTTGGGCCTGACACCTGTCCCGGTCCCACAGCAAGAAGCTCTGTACATGAAGGGGCGAGAGCTGACCCCTCAGCTGTCCCAGAGCAGCGTCCTTTCCCTCGCTGATTCCCACACAGAGTTCTTTGATGCCTGTGAGGTTCTCCTCTCTGCCAGCTCTTCTGAGAATGAGGTGAGGGAGCGGGGAAGCTGGTAGTGAGAGAGGAGGGACCCTGGGAATAGAGGGGTGGGGTCCTGGGAGACTGGAATCTGTAGATTCCCAAGTCCTTTCTAACCACCTCAGCCACTTCTCTGGGAACACGTCCAGATGTGCTGGGTTTGTGTGGCCCTGCTTAGAAATCTCTGCTGGGGACCCTTCGTCCAGTTTGATGTGCTCCATCCCCATGGGTTCTACTGAAACTGCTGCCTCAGCTGCACCCCATCATCTTCCTGTGACCTCGTTTCAGCCTTAGCACTCCCTTGACGCTCACCCTCCTGACCCTGAATCCCAGTAATCCCCAGCTTCCCTTCCCTTAGTGTCCCACCAAGTCCCTGAGCTGTCTCCCTGCTTGTTGTAAGGCTAGGCCCTCTCCCTCCCAAGGTGGCAGGGCACACCAGGATTCCAGGCCTCCCAGGGCAGTGTCTTAGGGCTCAGACCCTCCCAAATATATTCTCTTCCCCTTCCCGCCAAAGGGCTAGCTGGGCAGATTGTTGCCAGGCCCTGGGCACTGTCCAGCTGCCTGGGGGAGGCCTAGTCTGCCCAGCCTGTCATCTGTCCCTGGCCCAGGGCTCAGAGGAGGAGGAGTCGTGCACCAGTGAAGTCACCACCAGCCTGTCCGAGGAGGTGCTCGACCTCAGGGGAGCTGAGCGCTGTCAGAAAGGTGCCAGCCAGACGGGCGGGAGGGAGGGCAGGAGGTGGGCACAGCAACGGGGTTTGTCCAGGCCCAGGCCCCTTGGGACGTAGTCCCTTGTAGTACTGGTGGGCTAATGGCTGCGGGTGCTGACTCCAGGGGTGACCCTGGGGGTGAGTAAGGCTAAGCTGTGACTGTGCTCCAGGGGTGGCCCTGGGGGTGGGGCAGGCTCAGCCTGGGGCTAGTCTCCACTCTGGGTTTCTGTGAAGGCTTGCATGGGCCTGATAGGCAGAAGGGCCTGCTTGTTAGCAGTGTGGCTTTGTACGTGTCATTTTCCTTCTCGGAGCCTGTTTCCTCATCTATAAAATGGGCTGAATAATTTTATTTGTTTTATTTTATTATTATTTTTTTTTTGCGGTATGCGGGCCCCTCACTGTTGTGGCCTCTCCCGTTGCGGAGCACAGGCTCCGGACATGCAGGCTCAGTGGCCATGGCCCACAGTCCCAGCCGCTCCGCGGCATGTGGGATCTTCCCGGACCGGGGCACGAACCCGCGTCCCCTGCATCGGCAGGTGGATTCTCAACCACTGCGCCACCAGGGAAGCCCTGGGCTGAATAATTTTGACATTGGTTTCTGTGCTTATGAAATGGAGCAGAAGCCAAGGGTGAGACTCAGGAAGGGCTTCTGGGGTGCAGGGTTTCTGTTTCCAACAGTGGGAACTGTCCTCTGGTTCTTAACTCTTCTTAACTCTGCTCACCTAGATCCCCAGGAGCTCATCAAGAATTAACCACTCCCCACCACCCCCCATCCACCCCCCCCAAAAAAGAATTAGCCCCCAGCCGCCTGCCCCATAGTGAGTCGAGCCTGGGGCCTGGGAGCGAGCAGACGTAGGAGCACCTCAGGAGCTCAGGAGGCCATGGGCCTGGTTGCGAGATGCCCAAGGCAGAGTGACAGGCGGGTTGGCCCCGGGATTGTGTTCCAGGAGGAGCCGTGGGACCACCCCGCCGCCGATGCCTACCCGCGGCCAGTGGGCCCGGGGCCGACGTGAGCCTGTGGAACATCCTGCGGAACAACATCGGCAAGGACCTGTCCAAGGTGTCGATGCCCGTGCAGCTCAATGAGCCACTCAGCACCCTGCAGCGGCTCTGCGAGGAGCTGGAGTACAGCAGCCTTCTAGACCAGGCCAGCCAGACCACCGACCCCTGCGAGCGCATGGTGGGTCCGCCCCGACCCCGGCCCAGGCTGCCGCCGCCTCCCAGGATCTGGTCTACCGGGCCGACCCCAGGCCCCCGTCCTGGCTCATGGTAGGGTGGTGGCGGGGCGGCATCTCCTCTGATCCCCCGGCGCCCCGCCCCCTGCAGGTGTACATCGCAGCCTTCGCAGTGTCAGCCTACTCCTCCACGTACCACCGAGCGGGCTGCAAGCCCTTCAACCCTGTCCTGGGGGAGACCTACGAGTGCGAGCGGCCTGACCGAGGTTTCCGCTTCATCAGTGAGCAGGTGAGGCCCTAGAAGAAGTGGGCTGGTCGGGGCAGCCATGTGGCCAAGGCCGGGGAACACCTGGGCTTCACGGGGCCAGGGCGTGGGCAAGAACATCCGACAGTCGGGCAGTCAAGGGAGGAGCTCCCCGCTCCTTGGGGAGAGGGACTTCAAACGAGGAGTTACTGCACCATGTTCTAGAGCTGGGATTGTGGAAGCTCGTAGGAGGTTATTCCGCTCTATTGGTTGCTTGGTTTTTAAATCCTGGAGGCCACGGGAGTCACGAGAGAGTTTTAAGCGGTAGAGTGGCATGCTTAGAATTGCACTTTGTAGAGAACACACTGAGGCAGTGGTGGGTGCCGGGGGATGGGGAGAGGCAAGGAGGGCAGGCTGTGGGGTCCCTGAGTTCAAGGTTCCAGATGGGGAGCTGTTCTAAAGAGGGCAAGGCCGAGTTTTTCCAAGGGTGTGTCGTGGAGATTGCAGGGTGATAATCGGCTTTGGGGGAGAAGATGATTAGGGAAGAGGGTCCTCATGGGAGGGCTGGCTTTCAGGCAGGGCATGGGTGGAGGCCCCACCTGTCACTGCTAGAGGACTTGGGCAGGATCTCTGGAGGGCACCATGCACAGGGTCGGCAAGGAGGGCCCTAGAGGGGAGGGAGGGAGAAGGGAGAACATAGGGGCCTCGTGGGAAAGGAGAGGGAGATGGAATTTGGGTGGTGGCCAAGGACACCTAGACAAGAGACCTGGAACTAACTGGTCTGGTTCCCAGGGGAACTGGGGATGGGGGTGAGGGATGTTGGGAGCCTGGGGTCAGCAGCAGACCCCAGGGTCCTGAGGAGCAGCCTCTAGAAAGCTTCCTTGCTCATCAAGGTCTCCCACCACCCCCCCATCTCGGCGTGCCATGCGGAGTCTGAGAACTTCATATTCTGGCAAGGTAAAGGACGGGGCTGGGGGTGAAGCGCAGTTGGGGGAGGGCTGGAACACTCTCTGGTCTTATCTCTGCAGTCGTTCTCCTTCCCCCACCCAACTCCAGACATGAAGTGGAAGAACAAATTCTGGGGCAAATCCCTGGAGATTGTGCCTGTGGGGATGGTCAATGTGAGCCTGCCCAGGTGAGTGTAGGCACAGGCCCCGCCTACAGGCCATCCTGCCCGGGCTGGGATGGGGAGGTGGGAGGGACAGGAGAGAGGCCTGGTCTGAAGCTGCTCAGGGTGGGGCAGTGTCTGTACTTTTATACCTGGGTTAACAGCAGTTGTCAGTAAAGAAAGGTGAAAAGTCTTAGAGCTGGAAGGGCTCATCAGGGTCATCTGATCAAGTGGCTTTCACACTTTTTGACCATGACTCACAGTAAGGAATGCATTTGAGACTTCAAGTCAGTGCACAGTAACCCATTCACACACACACACACACACACACACACGCACACGCACACGCACACGCACGCACAAGCCTAAAGTGATTCTAAAGTGATTTCAGGACTGCTCACAAACCACATTTGAAGCACCCTCATCTAGCCATGTTATAGGTGGGGAACTGCAGCCAGAGGCCAGTGCAGGGGTGGGGAAGACCCTGGACTTCAGGGTCAGAAGTCCTGGCTGGGAGTATTGGTTCTGCTACTTAATAGTTAGACAAGCGGCAAAAAGACTTGACGCCTCAGAGCCTTGAGTCTGCTCGTCTATAAAATAAGAGTAATAAGTAATATTCGACAGAAGTGGGGAGTAAACAGGCTGATATATGTGAACAGACATATACCCCAAGGACATGGACCCGTCTATGTTTTTACTCCTGTGACTTAGGCACTCTGGAGCTTTCTCAACAGATGGAGACGTGTTAGTTGAATACTTTCTGTGAAGGCTGCCTTGCTTTATAAATATGTCGTCCTTCATGGGAGGACCATGAGCTGGAACCAGGACCCCAGGGTTCCTTTCCCAGACCCACATGACCTGCTCTGATGAGACAGGCATTCCCCGGCTCAGGGTGGCACTTGTTCCCTAGGGCCGGCCAGCTGCCCCCCGCCATGCTCTGTCTCTCTCAGGTTTGGGGACCACTTTGAGTGGAACAAGGTGACGTCCTGCATTCACAACATCCTGAGTGGCCAGCGCTGGATTGAGCACTACGGGGAGGTGCTCATCCGGAACACGCAGGACAGCTCCTGCCACTGCAAGATCACCTTCTGCAAGGTGGGTGGCCTCCCTGCCCCACCTGTGTGTCCCAGCAGCTCACCCCGGGGAAGAGGAGGGGACACCTCCTTAAGCCCTCTGTCCCACCCCCACCCCAGGCCAAGTACTGGAGCTCCAACGTCCATGAGGTGCAGGGTGCTGTGTTCAGCCGAAGCGGCCGCGTCCTCCACCGACTCTTCGGGAAGTGGCCCGAGGGCCTGTACCGGGGACCTCCGCCGGGCGGTCAGTGCATCTGGAAACCCAGTAAGTGGGGCGCTTGGGGCGGGCTGGGCAGAGGTGAGGGCAGCTGTGCACAGCCCACCTGCCCCAGCCCCCTGCCTTCCCCCTAGACTCAATGCCCCCAAACTATGAGCGAAACTTCGGCTTCACTCAGTTTGCTTTGGAGCTGAATGAGCTGACGGCAGAGCTGAAGCGGTCCCTGCCTTCCACAGACACGCGGCTCCGGCCAGACCAGAGGTCAGTGCCAGGCGGGTGCTGCTCTGGAAGCTCCGGGCTCCTCCCTCCCCACGTGGGTTTCCACACAGACCTGGGACTATGTCCTTCCTTCCTTGAGTTGCCTCAGGGACATGGGACCCGTTTGGGGGCAGAACTGGGCAGGCACAGCGGCCTTGGATTTGGGGGCCTCTGAGAGTGGGCAGTTCCACTGACTGCCGTCTGGATGCTCAGGTACCTGGAGGAGGGGAACATACAGGCCGCCGAGGCCCAGAAGAGAAGGATTGAGCAGCTTCAGCGAGACAGGCGCAAAGTGATGGAGGACAACAACATTGTCCACCAGGCTCGTTTCTTCAGGTGCCTCTGCCCCCCTCTCCGGGTCTCTCTGCAGCCCAGGCCCCCCTCCTCCTCCCCACTCGCCCCTTCCTGCTTTGAGTGGGGCCAGCAGCGTAAGGCAGCATCTCGGGACCCCGGCCTCAGTGCTGGATGTTCACCCCTCTTCTTCCACGGCCCCCTTCCCCCAGGCGGCAGACAGACAGCAGCGGGAAGGAGTGGTGGGTGACTAACAACACATACTGGCGGCTGCGGGCCGAGCCGGGCTACGGGAACCTGGACGGGGCCGTGCTCTGGTAGCCCAGGCCCCAGGGGCAGGAGGCCCCGGTCCCCCCCTCCTGCCCCCGCCCCGCCACGGACACATGGGCGAGGCCAGGCTCTCCCACTCACTGCCCTGGAGACCAAAGGGGAAGCCCTGGCTCTGGCCCTCTCCCCTCTGCCGGCCAGAGGGGCTGCATCTCAGCCCATCACCCACCCCTTGTTTGGGGTAGGACGCAGTATTCGTGCTTCCCCAGTCTTGTTGCCCCAGACATCCAGCATGTAAGACCCTCCTTGCTCTGCCAACCCCTTCCTTACCCCCTGGGGTACTTGGGGGAGACTCCAGGCCCTCCAGGATCTGTTCCCCATTTCAGTGCCTTCCTAGGACACAGGGGACCCCTCGACGTTCCCCAGGATTCCTATGCCCAGGACTCTGGCCCCAGCTGTGAGGTTGGAGTGAGTGAAGGAGAGGGGCTGGCCTTTTCTCCCACCCCCCTCCCTCCCATGCCCCATCTCCAGCATCTTCTCCCCATGCCCTGGCCCAGAGGGGCTCCCTTTGCTTGGCCCTGGCAATTTCTCCTATCCTCCTGGATCCCCTTCTCCCAAACTGCAAAACGCCTGCAGCTGCCAGCCCCTTCATCCCTGGTCCTCAAGTGGTTTCCTTCAGTCTCAGCTCAGTGGATCCCCCAGAGCAGACAGGGCAGGAAGGGCGCCTGGCCTCTGACCCACCCGGAGTGAGCGAGCACTCATGAGAGTGTTGGTTTAAGAGTGTGTGTGTGTGCCTGTGTACTGCTTGCGGGCGAGCAGGATTCCTCGTGTAGGCCGGATGCCCCCTGCGGGGGGTCCGCCACCATTGCTGCTCATTTTACCAGTCTGCCTCTGATTAAGGTGAATTGCTATGACATTCCAAACTCCAGTAAAGACTGTCCCAAACTTTGGCCTGTGACCATTCATTGAAAAACACGTGCGCTCAAGCGCAGTGAAGGCCCATAGCTCCCCACTCACCTGGGCTAAAGACCCAGTGTCATCTCTCTCCCTGAATCCTCACCTCCTGTCGGTTCTGCCTCAGCGTCTCTCTGGCCCCTTCTCGTGATTGCACCTAGCTTAGGCTGGGCCCTTATCAACTTTCGCCTGGACTATTGCAGTATCCTTGGAGCCTCCAGTCACTTCCATTCTAATGCTGGCTTTCAGGGTGATATTTTAAAAGAGAAATATGGCACCTCATACCTGCTTCAAATACATCCATTGCTTCTGAGCGCCTCAGGGGAAAACCCAAACTCCTTAACCAGGTAGAAAACTGTGTGGTCCCTGTCCCCCTCTGGCACAGAAGCTGCCCCCACCCCCAGCATCCTTGGTCAGGTCTGTGCTCACCGTCTCACCCCCTCAGTGACTTTTCAAGGGAAGCTGGGACGGGGGAGGAACTAGAAGGGATGGGAGGACAGGGCGAGCTGCATTTCTCCCCCTCCCGCACTGCCTCGGCTGAGTTCAGGTCCCAGCTCTGTTATTCCAAAGCTGTTCTGATCTTGGTCAAGTGCCTTGCCTTTCTGTTCAGGGACTCTGTGGTCCTTCATTTGGCTTCTTTTGTGTCTTAGAGGAGAATGTATGTCCAGGCTTCTGATTTCATTAGTTGTCTCCTAGCCCCTCAGCCCACCGCACTGTACACACAGGCCCTGCTCTAAGAAAAGGAAGTCAGGGCCCCGTGTCAGGTGTTGGCTAGAACAAGCAGTGAATTCTGCTGGCAGTGTTGAGCTTTCTCAGGCAGGCATCTGAGGGGACTGGGGTCATCCTAGGGACACAGGCTGCTGGAAGCTGTGCTAGGGTTTGGTCATCTCCTAGTGCAGGGGTTTGGGCGGAGTCGTTATGTGCTGATTTGCAGCTCTCAGAGGACACCTCACTTCCTCTCCTGGAGGACAGGGTCCGGATCTGATCCCCTGATGCTGGAGGCACCCACCTCCCTGCTCCCCAACGGCATGCAGCCCAGGTGGCTGTGAGTGGGCTTTTCCCACTGGCTCTGCTACAGGGCGAAGGAAAGCAGCATCGGGGCAGTGGTGGGGATACCCTCAGGGTCTGACCAGCGCCTGCTCAGGATGCAAAGGTGTTGATGCCTGACTTCAAGTCCGCTGGTTTCGGCCTGTCCCCAAAAGGCCCTACTATTCCCCTTCTTCACAGGCACCTTAAAGATCCCTGGTCACATTGCCTGGGATCCTCTTTAGGGAAAGCTCAGGGGGCCCCTTGTGGCTGGTCATTAGCTTAACGATGCTCTCTTCCTGGAAAGGGCCCACTGCACAAGTGACTTCCCCCTTCAGAGACCCTCTGGTTCCCGCATGGGCAGAAAAGGAGGTGGGGGCTTAGTGCTTTCCCCCTGGGACCTGTCTCTGTGCCCCTTAGGTGGTCAGGGAGGGCAGCAGAGACTTCAGAGGGACCCTCACAGGCTGCTCTGGGCTAAGTCTTGCTCACCTATTCCTGGTACAGACTCTTTTGTTTTCAAGAATTTTCCCTAATATGGACTCAGAATAGATTGCAGGCAGGATCAGATTATATTTTTATTTATTTATTTATTTATTTTTGGCTGCGTTGGGTCTTTGTTGCTGCGCGCGGGCTTTCTCTTGTTGCAGCGAGTGGGGGCTTCTCTTCATCGCGTGGCGCAGGCTTCTCACTACGGTGGCTTCCATTGTTGCGGAGCACGGGCTCTAGGCACGTGGGCTCAGTAGTTGTGGCTCGTGGGCTCTAGAGCGCAGGCTCAGTAGTTGTGGCACACGGAGCTTACTTGCTCCGTGGCAATCTTCCCGGGCCAGGGCTTGAACCCATGTCCCCTGCATTGGCAGGCGGATTCTTAACCGCTGCGCCACCAGGGAAGCCCCTGGTACAGACTCTTAACCCGGCCACCTGGCCTGAAGAGTTCAGGGACTGATCTACCCTGATTCTTGCCTCATCCTCTCCTCACCTGCCCCCATGCAGAGAGGGGTCACTGAGAGCTCTTGAGATCCCCAACACACCAGAGTCAGCTCAGCGTGGGGCTCTGGGGCAGGGTGAGCTAGGCCCTAGGAATTGGGGTTAATGAGACCTACCCATGTCTCATTAACATATGTCATCACACGGTACAAAATACCCAGGTTGCTGGAAGATGCTTCCAGGCCCTAAAGTATTTGGAGGGGTGCTTTCCTATGGGTAAGTCCAAAGTGTTGGTACTATGCCCCAGGATGCCAGGGCACTGGGGATGCTGGGCCTTGCTGGTTCCTAACATGAGCGGCCTCTCAGAATGATGGGTGGGCTGGACTATGGGGAGGCTGTAGGTGGAAGAAGAAATTGGAAGGGTCTGGACAGGAGCCAGAAGGAGAGAGAATGGGGAGGAGTTGGCTTCAGAGTCCCTGTATGCAGGATGGAGGTAGTGAGATTTGTCAAGTATCCTCAAGAGGGCGCCTGGGTCTCCTGAAAGGACACATTCAGGCACATCCTGAACCCACCTGGTGAGTGGCTGGCTGCATCCGCTGTTCGCTCAGAGTATCAGGCCCCCAGGAATCTTGAGTGGCTGGCTCCCAGCTCAGCAGTGACAAATGAGAGCACAGACACCATTTATCAGCAGTGTATCCAACCACTGTTCACCTTTACTCTTCAGAGAACACTCACTGGGCCAGGAAACCCCCTTTTCTGGGAGACCCAGGTGTCCCAACCACTCCCAGAAACGGCCCAGGTGGTCTGGGGGAGGCACTCTGCTGGTGCCTCCTCACTGCCAGGTAACAGTGCCCCCAGGGGCTGTTTCAAGACCCCTCCACCGCACGGAGCCCCTATGAGAGAACTTTCCGCTGTTTCCACTAAGCTGCTACTAACACCTCTCCTGCTTCTGTATCCCCCAGACCCATCACACACGGGGTCAGGAGGCTCCGAATTAGCCTTCTACCCTAACCTTGAACTTCCAAAGAGAAAGGCAGGTAGAATGTAGAGTAGGAAGAGGGCCATCCTTAAGTCCAGACAAGAGGTGCCCCTGTCAGGGACCTCAGCTTTGAAAGGTCTGGTTCTGGCTTTCCTCTGACAGCGCCCCTCCCAGAGGGCTGCAGGTCTGTGGGGTGGACGGAATTCCTGACCAATTGGCTTCTAGGCCACAGAGCAGGTATCTTTTCCAGGCACACCCTGTCAAGGGTTAACTGCCCACCAGTGTGAGCAGTCCCACCCATGACAGAAATGAGGATCTGCTGTTGGCCTAGTGCCAGGTCTCCCTACACTGGCGAGGAACTTGGAGGAGTCTGGAAATTCTAAATTCGAACCTGACCTTTCAGGTCATAATGAAGTTATATTTTGTCGAGTTTGGAAAATAGAACATATTTGTTAGCTTGGTTTATAATCTTTAAGTATTTAACACATGATATATAGACCTGCATTTGTACTGTTCTGGGCCTGGGAAGACTCCCTGTGTTGTGTATTTCAAGGGTGTATGCATGTGTGGGAGGGTGTGGGGTGTGCGGGGCATCCGTGTGCCCTCCTGGGAAGGATGAGATTGGGGATGCGAAGGGAGCTAGGTCAGTGCCAGTTTAGCAGAGAAGTCTTGGCTGCTGTGGGAAGCCATCTCGCCTAGGACCCCTGGAGAGAGCTAGAGAGTGGGAGATAGGGAGGGCTGGTCCCATTAGCTCCCTTCTCTATCATCTAGCAAGATACTCCAGGCCTAGGGCAGCTTCTCTCCTCCAAGCTAGTCCATCAGAGGCTGGCACACTCCCCTTCCACCACCTGCAAGGCAAGGTGGGCAGGGGAGAGCACTGGACTAAGAACCAGGAGTTCTGAGCTCTGGGTCTGGCTCTGCCATTTATTCCCTTCCTCCGTTTTTCCCTCTGTAGGGTGGGTATAATGATAATGGCCCAGTTTCTCTCCTTTGTCAAAGGAGATTGCGAGACACAGCAGTGGGGCACTGGACAAGGGTGGCTTCAGATGACCTGGACCAGAGTCACCACCGGCTCTGCTGCCCCAACACATGGGGCCCCCCAGTGCAGCTCTAGTCCTCCCTGAGAGAGAAAGTTGCAGAGTTCAAGGGTGGGCATGCAGACACCAGTCAG